CATTCACCGGCTCGGGTAGTCTTGCTACTCTGTAGATAGGCTGAATTATGCACGTTGAAGTCCCCTGCAATTATCACATTGCTGCCAAGACGGCGGACATCATCCAAAGTGTTGTCTAGGTAGTCCATCAGGCTGGTGTCTGTCTCTGCACAAGAGCCAGGCCGGTAGAGCGCACCCAGAACAGTCTTTGTTCCGGAGTGCATTGCCAGGGAAATCCACAAGAGCTCGTGATCACGGCAATCTATATCGTCGTGGTGGGTAATGGATAGTTCACTCCTAGCCCACACTGCCACACCGCCACCATGGGCATCTCGATCCTTCCTTATAGGGGGTGAGTATCCTGGGATGGTCAACTCATGGGAGGAATTATCTGAGCAGAGCTTCGTTTCTGTTACTATTGCCACGTCTACATTATACTGCAGGATTGCATGCTGCAGGGCACCTATCTTGTTGCTCAGGCTGAATGCATTAGTCACTAGCAGTCGCAGAGGTCTGGAATCCATCATTGGGCATGAGAGGACTGGGCATCCTGCTGGGGTGGCTGCGCATCATGCTGGTCATGTTGTGGCGCAGATCCGTTTGATCTCTTCAGGTCTCCAGCCTCTGGTGGGGAGAGGTGGGAGTTTCTCCGTTTTTGGCCACTGTGTAGTGGAGTGGAGATGAAGTCTGCCGGTGGTGGGGGCGGCGGTGGTTGTGGCGGCGGGGAGGAGGAGGACGTTGAACCCGGCTGCTGTTGTTGCTGTTGCTGTTTAGTCAGAACATTGGCAGAGGTGCTGTTTCTGCTGCTGTAGCTGCGACTGCTGGTGCTGCCCTCAGAGCTGGTTTCTAAGAACCTCCATGGCCTGCAGTATACGGGCCTTGGCCAGAAGTTGGGCGCTGTCACTGTGGAGAGTGAAGTGGCATCGATGGTCACTCTTGCGGAAGCACGCCCACTTTCTGACAGCCATACACTGCAGGTGTGGACAGGAATGGAGGCGCCCAGAAACTCACGCCTTTATGTGCTATGCGTAATTCAATCTGATCTAGAATTTGCATTTCAATCGTTCTTACCCTGCTTATCTGCAAAAGACCGTGGGCGCCTATTTGCTGTTCACCGTCGTGCGATCCGAGCTGCCTGTGGGGCCCATTACTGTGCTGACGTGGACCCCCTTTACCACTCTCTTAAGCTATGTCCTCTGGACCACCGTTTCTTACAGTTGTTCATTTATCTTTCAGTGTAAAGTAGCTCACCCGGTTGCCAGTTTAGATTCTCTATTTTGTAGGCACAGTACACCTGCTTACACCACTCGCGGCTCTTCTGCAAATAATCTTTCGTTATGCCGATATAAGACTGCATGCGGGTATCGCTCATTGTCTAGTAGGATTGCTTTACTTTGGAATGTTCTGCCCTTCGAAATGAAGTCTTGCAATACGTCTTCTGCATTTAACGCCCATCTTGCCTGCCTTCTTAATGACGGGCCACAATGTACCCGGTTAAAACAGCTCCTTTTCGAAAATGTTTTCGATGAGTGATGTGTCGCTTTGTTTTGCTCTAATTGGTGCTTTTCTCCAATGTCATGCAGTCGTATTTATTCAGCTTTTATTTCTTGTGTACTTGCATACTGGTATTAGTTTAGTCCCACAATCTGCGATAAAATGATCCGCTGTAGCACCTACTCCACTTTTATGTTTATGTATCTATGTCATTCGGATCTTCCCAAGTTGTACAATGTACTGTTGAGATACCGAATTCAAATAAATCAATACCAATTCCAATACTCCTGGTTTTGATAAATTGCCTGAAGTGGCTCTCAGTGCTATCTGTGGCGATATTGCCCACATACACCACAGCACGCTTGTTTTTGGGTCGTTCTGAGGAGACAAGCTTCCATGAGTCATCCTCATGGAAGATTGGCTTGGATTCTGTCACATCTGTCTGGGACTTGGTAGGGATGGCATCTTGGTCGCCATCCCCTTCACACTCGTCACCAGGTCACTGCTACGGGAGATGTTGCAGGGGACGCTGCCATCCTCTTCACACTCGTCACCGCTACGGGAAATGTTGCTGGGGACGCTACGGGACAACGTGGTGTCATGCTTTCGAGTACCTGTACCCGCACAGTAGTGCTGACCCGAATTTGCCAGCTGAATCTCGATATTTTGCGGCATAATTTTGCTCGTGCATCGTCGAAATTTTGCTTTCATTTTGCTAGGCCACTCGATATTTTGCTCCCTTTTTGCTCCAAAATTTGTGTCACGTGTGAGAAAACTGACCGAAAGTGGGTTACGTGTTGGCAAAAATGAGAAAAAGTGAGTCACGTGTTGGTAAAATTGTGCCGAAATGAGTCATGTGCACCGTATATGTGTAAAATCTCCCAATTCCCAGCCAACACACCGATATTTTGCTCCATTTTGCCAGCAAATTCCCTTTCAAAATTTTTCGATATTTTGCTAGAAGAATTGCTAGCAAATTCGGGTCAGCACTACCGCACAGTGCCCCACTGCCTGCTTTGGTACGCCTACGCGAAGGTTGATCCGCACCCGTACCCAGCTGTGTTTGAACCAGGGAGTAGTACAATACCGGTATTGTACTACTCCCTGGTTTGAACTGGCCTTGGGGTAACTTTTCGCAAGGCAATGGCGGATTCTCGGAGAGACACTAACTCTTCATTCACATCTTTGAGCTGCCTTGACAGCTCGTCAACCCATTTGTTTAGGCGCGTCTCCCGATCAGCCGATTCCGAGACAAGTGCGGCCAATGTTTTCAGGATTTCTACCACAGATAACTCAATGCCCGACAACGACGCCATCAGCCTCAGCTCTTCATCCGTGACTCAGGGCAGTCGCGCGAGTGTTTGTTCTCGTGGTGGCCCCAGGCATGGCGGAGGTCACCAATTTCTACGAGCACTACTAGAAAAACTTACTGCTACCCTACGGAAACTACCTCCAGTCCGGCCTGATGCCGGCTGGGCTCTACCAAGAAAGATTTCCGGGAGCTTCAAAAAGTGCAACCTACCCCTACTGAACTGGCAGTCGCGGGTGAGGCGGGTGGTCCTGGGCTACTGTGTCAGGATGGAGCCATTCTCGAGAGGAGAGAGGGAGAATTATCGCGAAGGGCTTTTTTATACAGGAGGCAGAGGGCAGCGATGGTGCGGGGAATTGTGAGGCTAGGAAGCCAGCATAGCGGATGTATTGACCTGATGGCTCGCTCCTGCACCCAGTCCAGCCGATTCAAGTGGGAAGGAGCTGCCCCCATCCATGATCCAGACGATTGGGCAATACTCCATAACCGGCCGGACAAAGGCTTTGTAGGCTCGAAGTCGGGCAGGAATAGCCAGCAAGTGAAGTGCCTTGCGCAAGACTCCAAGTCTCTACGTTGCTCGGACTACAACGGTTCGGATATGCTGGTTGAATTTTAGCTGTTGGTCAAATGTGACGCCGAGTACTTTGATGGAGGGCTGCTCCTCGACAGGAGTTCCATTGAAGACAATGTATTGGCCAGTCACGACGATGGTGAGAAATTGTAAGGGCCTGGGATTTGGCTGGCTCGAACTGCACTTTACAATCCGAGCCCCAACTGGATACGAGGTCAACAGCAGCCTGGAGTACTCTAGCGTTGTCAGGAAAACCAGGGAGAGTTGCGATTTCGGCGTAAAGGGTTGCATCGTCGGCGAATGAGGCGAGGTTGGAGCCGATTGGGAGGTGGTCTTCGAGGTCATTGACGTAGGCCAAGAATAAGGTGGGGCCCAGGATACTGCCCTGTAGCACGTCTGGCCGGAGATGTGCATGCGCCGCGGGTTGCAGAGGTAGTCTTGGAGCCACCGATGCAGGTCTCCCGAGATGCCATACACTCTAGCCTTGTCACGCGGCAATACACCAGTGTGCGACACCCGGTCAAATGCTCCAGCAATGTCGATGGCCAGCACTCGAGAAGCTCCTTTATCTCCTGCGGTGTGCACCCACTGGTGCCTTGTGGTGGTGGAGAGCAGTCAGCAGGTCTGCTGCACTGTGTCTGTGGCCGCGACGGAAGCCAACTTGACGTTCTGACAGGACATGATTCGTCTCCATGAAGTTGCCGATTGCCCTGTTGATTTATAGTCTCCATGACCTTGGAGATGATGCTCAGTAGCGACACTGGTCGATAGTTTGATGGCGACGATTTTGACTTGCGCTTGTGGACTGGAACAACGTTTGCAACCTTCCACTGTTTAGGCTGGATGCCAAAACGAAGACAGCAGGTACTACCGTAAATAGCTTTTAAAGCGGCCGTGCCAAATCTGCAGAGCAGGCTTTCAAGACGCGGGCAGGTATCCCATCTGGACCAGTGGCCTTGGTGGGGGCTGAGCTGGCGGAGGGTTCGCTCGACTGTGGTCTCGCGAAACCGGATGGTGCAGAGGTTGCGGTCAGTACGTGGTCGGGCGACGGACGTGAGGAAATGGGGCGGATAGGTCGTCTACCCCTAGACTGCATGTGTTGGCGAAGTGTTCGGCCATGCACTCTGCCTTGCTGCGGTTGGCGTCGTGCTCCGCACCATCTACTAGTACGCGTAAGGACTTTTGCATAGCTACAGGAATTTTTTTAAGTGGAATTTTAACCCACTGGGTATGGTTCTTTATACAGCGCTGAAAGCTTAGCACATCGCTTTGACGTTGCGAAATCAACACCCCATGCATAGCAGCACAAGACCCACCAATGCCTCTACTCTCCTCGCATACGAGTACATGTCTACCGGCATGGCCAGTAGCATCCTCATGTTGTAGCCTGATGATTGCGACTGCATGAAACTCAGAGTAGCGACTAACTACCCGTGATTGCCCTTGTTGATACGTATGGTTCTTGATATAAATTATTTACGTAATCAAGTAGCTGCGGTGCTCCATACAAGTAAGGTGGAAAAGAATTTTTATTGCAACTACTTTGAAGTAGGCCTATAGGACTATAGTACATCTGTAGAATGCATTGACGTAAGATGCGCCATGTGAGTGGCATACAGCAATAATGTACAGGTTGTACAGGTTGGGTGAGGTTGTGTGCGTTGGCCGGAATAATTAGAAATAGAATAGAAATAGTTTAATACGGCAATGAACAGAATCAGCTGAAGCGGCATGGTACGAATGTTTTTTTAGAATACAAATAGAATGAATCGGCAATTTGGTAAGTTTCAGAATTGACAATGGACACTAAAACACTGTACAGGTTACAGCAAGCCGAGTCTCCATCGCATACCGCAACCAGCCCTCACATGCACAGGCCCATGTGCACGAAGAGAATAATTACAGAAAAAGGGACCCTCAGATAATCGGAACACCCTCCCATGTTGTGCTCTCTTTAGGAGAAAACGTATCAGTGATTCAAGTTTGGAGAACAAGTATACACCTTGATAGAATTTAGCAATCAATAAAAAATGAGGTGATGCTGATACGATTATATCATTTGTCATAAAACAGAAATACAGATAAACTTAGCAGTGCTGAAGGTAGTGATTCACTGATACACTGTAGCACACGGATGCAGGGAGTTGTAAACATATGACTCCCCACTCAGAAACATGACTTGCAACACAGGTTCTTCATTCCGGGGTCATTGCATCCACCGCCACCTCGGATGAGTTTGCAAAGGTCGGATATGTCATTGCAGATACTTGGCCTTCGACCTGATCCGGGTAGCAGAATAGCAACATACACACGCACATGAACACACACGCATATGCACACACACACACGCATATGCACACACACACACGCATATGCACACACACACACACACACACACACACACACACACACACACACACACACACACACACACACACACACACACACACACACACACACACACACACACACACACACACACACACACACACACACACACACACACACACACACACACACACACACACACACACACACACACACACACACACACACACACACACACACACACACACACACACACACACACACACACACACACACACACACACACACACACACACACACACACACACACACACACACACACACACACACACACACACACACACACACACACACACACACACACACACACACACACACACACACACACACACACACACACACACACACACACACACACACACACACACACACACACACACACACACACACACACACACACACACACACACACACACACACACACACACACACACACACACACACACACACACACACACACACACACACACACACACACACACACACACACACACACACACACACACACACACACACACACACACACACACACACACACACACACACACACACACACACACACACACACACACACACACACACACACACACACACACACACACACACACACACACACACACACACACACACACACACACACACACACACACACACACACACACACACACACACACACACACACACACACACACACACACACACACACACACACACACACACACACACACACACACACACACACACACACACACACACACACACACACACACACACACACACACACACACACACACACACACACACACACACACACACACACACACACACACACACACACACACACACACACACACACACACACACACACACACACACACACACACACACACACACACACACACACACACACACAATTCTCAAGCACCTTTTGAAAGTTTGCTTTCATGGCTAATGCCAGGATGGTCTTTATACCGAGAGATCTCTAGACTCTCTGTTCTATTCACACCACGTATCCAGGTTATCTTGCCTTTTTTTCTTTTCTCTCTTTCTATCGTGATTGGCCATTGGGCATAGTCGCCCGTTTGTCTAGTGATGTCAAATACAACACAATGCATACGGCAACACTGTGTTTTGGATTTCCGACGGTAGCGGTAAAGAGCATGGATGTTTTTTATACTTTTCTTGCCGTTATACGCTCTACCGACTTGGTTTTAATGTCAGCTGTCATGGGGCGCACTGGCATGAAACTTTATCTCCATGAGCCGAATGGCCGCACAAACTGATGCACTAAATATTCTGCCTTTAACTGAAAGATCGCCGAGTGTGAGATATTGCACACTAGAGGTTTCGTGATGTTGCTATAACTCCTGAAATCAATGCACTAAGTAAAGCAAGTTGTGCATTCAAAACACACATCATTTTCCCAGGTTAGAAACTGTATAACTCCTGACACAATGATTTCACTCACACGATGCACACAGATCAACAATGGATTACACGCTTACGTGGTGGGCAGGCTCGCGCGGCTGTGCACTCGCGGGTCTCTGGAATAGCGGGCACTCCTGCTCGCTGGCATACCAGCGGCGGAACGTTGACTGGCTTGGTACCGATTCTCAGGCGGCACATGATGACGCGCACCTGCACGCCCTTGCCACATGCAGCTGAACACTGGAGCATGCATTGTCACACAAACAAACATACATACATACATACATGCACACACATAAACACATATACAAAATTACAAACACACATACACATATTAACTGGTTTGAGGGAAAGACACAAACGGGAAAAGTCTGAATAAAAAATTGACTGTCACCACCAGGACTCGAACCAGGCACCCTCGCTTGTAGCCAGCGATGCTCTAACCACCGAGCTGTGGTGTAATCGTCATCCCAGCAGAGGCCGTTCAACATTTTCTTCAGACTTCGTAACTCACACACAAATACACATATGCACATATTAACACACGTGCACACACATGAACACACACACACATGTGCACACACATGAACACACACACACACACACACAAGATAGTATAACACCAACGGTAGCGATGTCAGGAAGTAAATGTCATAATATACTGCACCTAGACTTGATACATGTTTTACACACACATACACACACACAGACTGAGAGAAAGAAAGAGAGAGAGAGAGAAAGAGAGAGAGCGAGAGAAATATCGATACATGAAAGGGGGAGGGGGAGGGTGTTGTGTGTATTTTTTTATGCTTTACTAACAGTGACAAGATTTTCTTACATTAGACCATTTCTTGTTAATCCAGATAGGCTTGACAGGTGTGCAGACGTGGACGTTGCACGATCTCTGCGTTGGCGGCCGAATGTTAGTGCACAGTTTATTAGCAACCGGCGGCTGGCGAGGCCTGCCGGACTCGAAGCAGGCAACTCTCCTGGTCTGCGCCCCGCCTCCACATGTGCGGGTACATTCGCTCCACCTCCAGAAACGCCATTCGTACCTGCGCACAGTATTCGAAGCAATGTGCATGCAGAGGTGATCACAATGACAGTTCAACATGTTGTGTTGGGCTTGCAAGCCATGCAAGAGTCCATTGCAGGACAAAACAAGCACTGCTTAATTAATAACGAGGATGCGCATACTCTATTTTCAGAAATTTTCGGTGCTCAATATTTTCGGTGTGAGTGCAAAAGGCCAGGTTAGGTGAAGAGAAAATTTAGGTACAGAGAAGCAGTTCCCTATTAGATTATGTGTGTAAGTGTTTGTTCGGTGTATTGAAATTTTAGGTATGAAACAGATGCACCGAAAGTACCGAAAATAAATGCACACCGAAAATTTGTGAAATTACAGTATATAATACTGATGTGAGAGAAAGAGAGAGAGACATTACGGAGAGAGACAGTACGGAGAGAGACAGTACGGAGAGAGACAGTACGGAGAGAGACAATGCTGCTACAATCACTATACACTACATCTCCCTTTGCACAGCATTAGCAGCATTACACTGTACTCCAGTCAAGGGGAAGCCCACCCTGAAAACTTTACAGCGTGTAGTGCAAAAGACGCGCTGTTTCCCATGTGCTAGCTGTAGTGACAAATTTCGTTACAACAGTTCGCATCACATGAAAATGAAACCGTGCATTTTCAAAAATGTCTAGCTGTGTATACATGCGTGCTTGTATGTGCATGTGAGTGTGTGTACAAGTGCTTATTATTCACTTGTACACGCAAATATGTTACATGTGCGTATACATGCTCCATATGTCTTACCTTGCCGGCTTCTCGCACTCAGTGTCCAGATGGCATGACGCACTCGTATTAGACTTGAAGCCCTGTAGACGCAGGCGACGGCATTCGTTACTCCTGGGCTGCTTGCCATTGGACCGGTCGGTGCACACACTGTAAATGGTTTGTCTTCCTGCGAGCAGAATAGTAGGAACAAAAGGTTTGCAGTATGTTAGCAAAAGGAAGCAAACTCAGCTGAAGGTCGTTTCCAAATCGCCTGCCGTATACTCAAGACATTTTAGGTGCTCAATATTTTCGGTATGAGGGTAAAGGGCCAGGTTAGGTGAACAGAAATTTTAGGTACAGAGAAGCAGTTCCCAATCGGATTATGCGTGTTAGTGTTTGTTCGCTGTATTGAAATTTTAGGTATGAAACAAACATACCGAAAGTACCGAAAATATAAGTACAATGTACACCGAAAATTCGTGAAATCACAATAATTGATTGCCAAGAGTGCTCAATGCGCAAGGCAGATCTTCCCGGTGTGTACAGAAGAAGTGTGTATGAAAGCTGTAGCTGTAATCCCCCCGGGGCCAGGCCATAGCCAGTCCCCATGGCCTGTTTCCAAAAAATGCAAGTCTCTATGAGCAGTCCCTATGAGCAGTCAGTCCCCGTATGCCCAGTCCCTTTAGCCAGTCCCCACTGCCAGCCCCCATAGCCAGTTCATATGGCCACTCATTGCATCAAGTCCCTATGGCCAGTCAATGGCCAGTTCCTGTAGCCAGTCCCTGTAGCCAGTCCACATAGCCAAACCCAGTCCTTGTGTAGTCGTATACCATTAAAACTTGACCGCACTCATCAGCATTTGCACACACGTCAAACACCTTTCGAGGCATTACAACAGCTGAATTTACTCCAGCCGTGTAACCTTGGTAACATACCTGATCCACATGTACCCTGACATTTTGTCTTTGCCGTTCGCCAGTAGTGCTTTTGGGAGCAAGTGCGCGCCTCAGGTCGTGTGTACGTGGCCTCCACGCCGGGCTCTGTGTACTCCCCGTGACCGGAGAGCCGGAAGGTGTTGATGGTTATCTCGCTGCTGAGGCTGCCGCGAACGGTCAGGTATGCGGGCGCGTGGCTCGGATGCGAGTACTGCAGCAGCGACTGGGTGCGGCCGGGCAGGATCCGGCGCATGTGCGGCACGATGGCGCTGTCGGCGTGGTTCAGGATGCCCGTGCGGCCGATGCTCACGCCTGTGAAGTGGAGAAACAAGCAAAGCATGCACAGCGGTGACCGCAGGTTAACGTTACTAGAAATGAGCACTGTGTGTGTGTGTGTTAGGCTACACTGCATTTACTAGGTGTAAGGCTACGCTGTATCTGCCGCTGGTTTTGCCGGGTGTTAGCGGCGGCCGTGAGTTCCCTCGGCAAGGGACACGACCATTTACTCTTGCATCATCGTTATCAGCGCATACCCCATCTCCCCGAACTCTGACGGCTGCTTGCAGGTACAGTCAACTTCGCTAATAACGACTGCGGATATAACGACAATTCGCAAACAACGACAGAATTTCCATGCCCAGAGCAAAGTCCCATCCCACTGTAACACATATAATGGGACTTCGGGTATAACGACACTTCGCGAATAAGGACACCTTTTTGATGCCCTGCCGAGTCTCGTTATAAGCGAAGTTGACTGTAGAGTGACAAGGTTGAGCACTGCGTACAGAATCAGCAAGGCTTGCCGTGCACAGTGGCGGTCACTAGCAACGCATACATACCCGCTCTGCAACCATGGTGACTAGGATCGGAGTGGACAGTTACGATCATGCAGTTACGATCATGGAGCAGCACATGCACATCCCGTAACTATGGTGACAACATTCTAGCTCAGTACATGCTACACAGTCAACTTCGGTAATAACGACTGCGGATATAACGACAGAAGTTCCATGCCCAAACCAAAGTCCCATCTAACTGTAATACATATAATGAGACTTCGGGTATAAGGACACTTCGCGAATAAGGACACTTTTCTGATGCCCCGCCGAGTGTCGTTATAATGCAAAATTGACTGTATACCCACTCATGTGTACATGGGGTAGTAAAGCAGTGAAAAATGCTGACTGTAAAAGATCCGACAGTTAGTCATAACTCGTAACATTTTGTCCTTCTTCTTTTCACAAAAATGTTTCCAAAGGTGTTTTTCACCTAAGCGGGAAAGCTAGCAGAACCTGATGCGACCTATACATTAACTTCAGGACTATTCTGGCTGGGGCTTGCTTTTGATAAAGGTGACTCTCATTCCTAAGCAGTGGTGTGTGTGTGTACAGGTAGAAGGCCAATGAGGTATTGTGTGCATGTAACTTGGTGAGTGATCTTGTACGGGACTGTGAAAACCTTGTGTGAGCGTGGCATAGTGGTACTGCTGACATGCGGTAGCTTACTCAGCACAAAGTCTTTAGATTGGTCACGCATTCTGACGATGAT